ACTGCCTCCTCCATTAGAACGTCATTTCCTTGAGGAGAGAGGCTACATTTGGCTTCCATCATATGCCAGAGCTCAGCATAGGACTTGTCACTTAGCAATCACTTATTAAATTGACCTACTGACTAGAAGCTAGGGAAACTAGCAAAGGCCTCCTGCTGAAGGTGAGCTTTAAGTGGAGGCTTGAAGGAAATCAAAGTGGTAGAGGTGAGAAGGGATGGTGTTCTAGGCATGCGGGCGTCTGGTGTGTCCTGTTTAAGGAACTGCAACTAGTACAGTGAGGCTGGAGCATAGGAGAGTACAATTAAAGCAGAATGGAAAGGTAGGAAGAAGGGGACAAATTATAAAGAGCTTTGGATGCCAAAGACAGGACTTTATAGTTGATCCTGAAAGAAATGCTCATGGAGCTCATGGAGTAGGGGGGTGTCATGGTCAAACCCACCATGGCAGCTGAGTGAAGGATGGACTGGAGTAGGGAGAAACTCCAGACTGTTAGAAATTTACGGTAAGAAGTGATGGGGCTATATCAGATTGCTTGCTGTCTTGGGGAGGGGGGGAGGAAAAATTTTAAATAAAAACTTATGGAAATGATTGTTGATAAATCAAAATAAATCAATTAAAAGAAAAAGAAGTGATGGGGGTCTGAACTAGGGTGGTAGCTATGTGTGAGAGGACATTTAAAGAGATGTCAGGAGCCCTCTTTCATCTTCACTTGACCCCCGAGGCTGCTGCCACTCCTGAGCCTCTCCCAGCCTTCTCTCTGGACTCTCCATTAACCAGGCTGTGCCTCCCTTGAGACTTCCTCCCTGCCCACCTCTGCCCCCTTGGGCACACCCTCTTGGTGAGTCATGGTGGCCTTGGATGCCAATCCCTTTGCCTCCACTAAAGATCCTAGTTTTTGCTACTTTGACAGTAGTCTTTACTTCAGGTTGCCAACTGGAACAAGGAATGATCTGCTCTCAAGGAGCTTACAGTCTAAGGGGGAACACAACCTACAAACCACCACTGCATATGCACAAACACAGGTTAGTGGGGATGTGTGGGTTAAGTGAGAGTGAAGAGTTTCAGATGATAACACATCAAAAAGCCTGTAATAAGCTCCTATTATGTGCCAAGCACTTTGCAAACCTTATCTCATTTGATCCTTGCTACAACCCTGGGAGGTAGGTCCTATGATTATCCTCATTTTATAGTTGAGGAAACTGAAGCGAAGGTCAAGTGATCTGCCCAGCTCACATAGGTAGTAAGTATTTGAGGCTACATTTGAACTCGGGTCTTCCTGACTCCAGGCTCAATGCCCTCTCCAATACGTCACCTAGGCACAGGGTAGACCCAGGTGATTGGGAGGATGGTAGTGCCCTGGGTAGTAATAGGGAGGTTGGACTGGGGGCAGAGAGATAATGGTGTAAATTGCAATGTAGCCCCACTTCCCAATCTTCCTCTATCTCGTTGCTGTCCTCCCAGACATCTTCCTGTAGCAGGCGTGATGAGGAACACCCTGGTCAAGGTCAAGGGGTGAGTCCTTCGTTCTGCTTTGAAGATCTCTCCCTTTGGAAGATGTACCCCCTACCCACAATGGAGACTGGTTTGGCTCTAGAGGACCTTCTCTGGAAGTCTGGATCTGCCGTTCATCACCTGCATGACCGGGGTGAGGCAATTCCCTTCTCTTTTCATCCTCTGTACCAAGAAGGACCTTAAGGGCTTCTGAGGCCCCTCCTTGTACTGTTCCTTGCACAATAGTTTCCATCTCCCAACTCTGCAAGCTCTGGTTTTCCCTCATGCCTGGAGGGCTCTTCGTTATCATCTCCATATCCCAACTTTTTTCATGTTCCAGCTAAAATCCCCCCTTCTGCTTCCTGGTGACGCTAGGGCCTTCTCTCTAAGATTCTCTCCAATATCTTGTTCAGATAGACAGTAGCAGTTTGCATGTTGTCTCCCCATTAGACTGTGAGCTCAGGGCAGGACTGGCTTTGGCCTGGATTTATAACTCCAGTTTTAGCACAATGCCAGCCACATAGTAGGAGCTTAATGCTTGCTAGATCACTCCCAGCTTTATATTGACTAGTACAGCTTCTTAGATGAGCGGTGCTTGACCACTGGAAGGAAGGCAACCCTCTCTCTTTTTTTTTTTTCCAGCTAGGCAATGGGGTTAAGTGACTTCCCAAGGGTCACACAGCTAGTAAGTGTCAAGTACCTGAGGCCAAATTTGACCTCAGGTCCTCCTGGCTCCAGGGCTGGTAATCTGTCCTCTAGAGATGCCACCTAGGAGTTTACTTTCTTCTTTTTTTTTTCTTTTAAGGCAACTGGGGTTAAGTTACTTGCCCAGGGTCACACAGCTAGTAAGTGCCAAGTGTTTGGTCTGAGGCCCGATTAGAGTTTACTTTCTAAAGGAGACTACAGCATTGGGAAGTGGTGGTCAGGAAAGGGAGTCAGAGTCTGGGAAATCTCCCAGAGGCTGAATGAAACAATATGGCAGTCAATTGCCATAACCTCTGTCAGTGACTCCATTTCTCTGAGGTTGTCCTAGGACCAAGAATATCTGTAGGACAAATAAACTCTTTACCTTCTCCTAGAGTATCAATCAAAGCCTGATCCTTTGACCTTGCAAAAATTGACCTGGTTACTCAAAGCCACAGTCGGCCGCAACTCCCTAGAGAATTTACCCAAGCTCAATGGGCTTCTTCAGTCCCTCTTCAGTCTTACCAGTCTACAGTCTGACACCTATAACATTTCTGTTTGAAGATGGTGCTCGGCCCACACCCTTTTCTGATCGTACAATTCTTGGATAGTAGGAAGGTAGGCGAATGGCTTAGTAGCCGCCAATGTCCTTTCAAATGCCTTTTTTTAACCAGGAACCTTCCCTCTCATAGTTTAGCACCTTCCTCTCTCCCAGAAGCCTGGGAAATCGATGCTTTCAAAATTGTGTTGCCTCCAGTCAGGTTTTCTTCACGGTGCACGATAATTTACAAATAGGTCTTTATTTTCTTTTCCACTAAGGAGAAAGAGGGGAGAAACGTCTTCCAACCATTCCAGAGTAATTAGGCCTTTCATTACTCAACATTCTAATATATCCTCAGGTCTGAGTCAGTACATCTTCAGAATTACCAGTAGCTTCTTGTCTGTCTTTTGAAATAAATTACCTCCATATTATGCACATCCACAGATCAATTTACTCATTATATGTAACATGGAAAACTCAGCAAGCTCAGTGATTTCAAGCTCATTGCCACATTTCTTAACCTTTTAAATAATATTTTGTAAGATCAGGAATTCTTGGGGAAAGGACCACACCCAGACCCAGGGCTGTAAGTAACATGGATTTTAATTTTTTGTTGACTTCATAATCTACAAAGTCATAGGCAAGAATGTTACCCTAAGCGGGCCTCAGTTACAGGGCACATAAAGACAAATAGTTGAGATGAGAACAATTTCTAGGTAGGGCTTGGGGTCATCCCCAAATGGGCAGTGTTCTGAAAAACTCCAGTGTGCTAAAGCCCCAGAAAGTACCACTCATTAAACAAATAATTGTTAAACACTTATTATGTGCAAGCCACTGTGATAAACACTAAAATGACTACCAACTCTCATTAAGACAAACTGCATACTTCTCAGTTTTATAGTAGAAAGATGGCAACCTTTTGGATTGTTTCTAAAATAACATGAAAGGTAAACCTCAAGCTCAGCTTAATGTTGATTGCCTGTTATTTTACAAAGGCAGAAAAAGTGTGCATATGTAGTGGTTTCCATGACCAATATTTGCAACATAAGGAGAGTTACCTGAGGGCAGGGGCTGTTTTTACTTAGTATTGCCACAGTTGCTAAGGAGTGCCAGGCACATAGGAAGTACTTCACACAAGTTTGTTGACTTGACTTGGGAGTATTATAGTTCACCTTTATTAGAGCCTGGAGGTTAGCTTTGCCCTCCAAATGGTCAGTCTTCCCTGGGGCACTACATTTTTGCTCAAACTTGGTATTTAGAGAGGCCATTTGGATCTAAGTGGAAAGGCCAGACTCTGGAGGTGGAAAGATCTGAGCACTAATCTTGGTCAGCTATATGGCCTTGGGCAAATCACCGGCTTTCTTCTCGGTTAAATGAGGGGGCTGAATTAGATGATATCTAAGGTCCCTTCATGCATATATGTTACTGCAGCTCAGATGGCCCTAGCTGGGCCCAGAAACCTAGACTTGACCTTACACGACCCCTGCAGGTCAAGCTAAAGTTCTCGGCAGCTAGCAGAGAGTCCCAGGACTCTTCTCGTCCAGCTGAGGTCCCCCGGAGGCAGGAAAAAAGGGAGAGGGAGAGGCGAACGTCAGCAAAGACCCGACCCGAGGGGCCCAGAACAGTGGGCGGAGCGGAGGGGTCAGAGTGAGGAAGGGCAGGGACTCTAGGGGTTGGGGGTGGGGATGATGCAGAAGGCCCGCCTAGTTCAGGGGACTAGCGCGGGAAGGTTGAAGGTGGGTGCGGGGTCGGGGCGGGGTGGGGGGGATGGGAAAGGCAACAGCAAGAAGCAGAGTTCTGGGTCGGGGCAGGACTGGGCTGGGGCGGGCCACAGACGGCACTATGCGGCCAGACGCTGGGAAGCGAATGATGAAGGCGGGGCTAAGGGGCAGGGCCGGGGAGGGGGCGGTGCGGAGGGAGCCGATTAGGGCGGGGACAAGAGGGTGATGAGAGTGGGGCTAAGAGGGCCGGGACTCGACTGGGGTGGGGTTCTACCCAGCCAGGGGAGGGAGGGTGCAGCAGGGTTGGAGGGTGGGAGGCGGGGAAAACTGAGCCAGAGGACCCCGACTGGGGAGAGGTGATGCTGTGTGTAGGGCGGCGGAGGGGGAGCAGATTAGCGAGGGAAAAGTAGAATTGTGGGGCGGGGCTAGAGGGGGCCGGACTGGGCCCGGGGGCGGGGCTGAGGACTGGACTGAGGATGGGTCTGGAGGGGAAGGGGGAGGTGTTCAGCAGGGGTGGAGGAGGGGGCAGCGATGATGCTCCAGACCGGGACTGAGGAGCCGGCGATGCTGTGGGCCGGGCTGCGGAGGGGGTGGCGTTGAGGGGCCAGACTGGAGACGGGGCGGGCAGGAGGCGGTGCGCTCGGGGCCGGGCTGGACTTGGGGCCGAGCCTGGCAGCGGGGCGGCAGTTCCGTGGTGTCTGTTCCGCAGGTGCAGCGGCGGCAGCCTGAGCAGAGACGGCTCCACGTCGTTGGGAGGAGGAGCAGAAAGAGAGAAAGCAGCGGAAAGGACCGACCGTGCGCTCTTTTTGCGCGGAGACCGTGCCCTTCCTCTCCAGATCTCCGCCGCCCGCCTGCAGTGCCCTCCTGTCCCCGCGGGGCCAGGGCCATGTCGGGGCCGGGCCCGGGGGAGCCGGACGAGCAGTACGATTTCCTGTTCAAGCTGGTGCTGGTGGGGGATGCGAGCGTGGGCAAGACGTGCGTGGTGCAGCGCTTCAAGACGGGCAGTTTTTCGGAGCGCCAGGGCAGCACCATCGGTGTGGATTTCACCATGAAGACGCTGGAGATTCAGGGAAAGCGGGTCAAGGTGGGGCCGGCCAGCTAGGTCGGGAGGGGAGGCCGGGACGCCAGTTTGCTGCCCCTGGCAGGGATAGTGTGCCCGGGACTCGGGCAGAGCCCCCGGATCCTGGCCTCTGGGCAGGGAGGAGCGAGTTTCCGATAACGTTGCGGTTTTCTCTCCTACCCTCAATCCCCCAGAGCGAGTCTGGCCTTCGGGAAGGGGGAGGGTGTGTGTGTGTGGTGGTATAGCCCTGGTGCCCTGGGGATCGGGGGTGGAAAAGAGGGGGCAGGACTGTGCCTTCTGCTCCCTCGAGGGACCTCTCTGTTCCCTTTCCACCTCCTGACCTAAAGCTGCCCTAGGCCTTGACCAGCGGTCCCGAAGCTGCTGGGTCCTCTTGCCCTAACTCTCCTCTTTTCTCTCCAGAAGGGGGAAGAGCTGAAAAAGTTAGGATGGAGTTCAGGTTTCTTTTCGAGGTGGTCACTATGAGAGATTTTCCAGTGTTCTTTGTTGCAGCCAAGACTCTCCTAGAACGTTAGCTTTCAAATCCTGTTTGGCTTCACTAGGCCACCCCCTCTCCCCCACCCTCTTGTCACAGCAAGCTGCCGCCTTGGGCTTAATTTGGAGTTTGTTCTGCATTCGTTACTGACCTGCTTCTCCCTTGGTGTTCCCTGGACCACTGTTTAGCTCGACCCAATCTCAGAAACTAAGAGAAGCTTACCCAGAATAAAATCCCCAGCCTTTTCCCCCTCCCCCCCCTTTTCACTCCTTCCAGAAAGGAAGGGGGGGTGCTTTTCACAGGGTGAGGGGTGAGCTGGAAATAAACTCGGTCACGAAATCTGCCTAGGGATAGAAACTTTCCTGCCAAACTGTCCGCCCTGTCTGGGACCAAGACAGAAACTTCTTCAGGCTATAGGTAGTGGAAGTGGTTTGAGGAAGTCCACACCCTCCCCACCCACTGAGTGCCCACTTGAGCCTTGGAGAGAGATGGGTGGGCAGGTCTCAGTGAACACTGACCCTAAAGCAGCTGCTCAGGAATTTTACGTAGATGGAAAACTCTGGAAATTACTGGAGGGTGAGAGTGAATTTTGGCAGTATAGCCTAAGTGACAGGGCAGTGTGGAGCAGTGGAAAGAGCTGTACTTAAGAAGTCATCCCTACTTGTATACGTATTAGTTGTATGACCTTGGACCCCACACAACCCCAATTGACAGTTTCCTCACCTGTAAAATGGAGGCAATACTGGAAGTGGACTACCTTCCTACTGGGAGAAAAAAGGCTTCGTATATGTATGTGATCAATTATTGGAAATCTCGATAGACTATTGTGTGCAACCTCTTGGTTGAAAGAAACAGATGGCCAAGTGCCCTCAAACAAAGTAAAATCAGAAAATTAGCTGGATAACTCAAGGCAGAAGTGGAAGCAATTTCAGCCTGGATTATCCTCACAACTGCCTCCCAGTGACATCTTACAGTTCACTTGGGGTTTTCCATTTTCCATGTATGTTCACATTTGACCTTGTGAAGGCAGTGGGCCCATTACTCTCCCCATTTGATGGATTAAGAAACTGAGGCTCTGAGAGGTCCTTTAGTATCTGCAGCACTTAGCACAGTACCTGCCACGGAATAGGTGCTTCACCGATGTTTATTGATTAATTGACTAAACAACCTTTATCTCAGTGGTCCATCGAAAACCAGAACCCAGCTGGCTTGGTTAATGATGTCTTCGCTCATTGTTGACCTTGGTCAGAGTACTGTGCTCTGTTTTTGTTTCTGGGAAAAAGCGAAGATAATATCTGCCTTCCCTCTTCCTTATAGAAACTTTGATAAAACATGTAAGTTCAATAGTGTTTTTGTGACCCTCGTGTTGGGAAGTAGGAGTGACAAAGGAAGTAGACGATACAGTTCTTGTTTCAAGCAATCCACAATCTCCGTGTTTTTCTAAATGCTGTGTTTTCGTTAGGGGAGGAGGACTGCTATAGAAAATTGCTGAGTAACTCTGAGAAGTGATCTGTGACTTTCCCCTTTGGAACAGGTGGTTCATCCAGGTGTTTTGGATATGGGTGTGTGCGTGGGGGGGGGTGCTGTAGGGTAGGTGGCTATTTTTGCGAACAATGCCATCTGGTGGAGGGGAGGGGGGAGGCGTGAAGAGGAAGAGTGTCAAAAAATACAGGTATAAATAGTGGTGGTGGTTTCCACCTCCCAGACTGCCTGCCCGCTCAGCAGGTGTCTGTAGTGACCTCATGAGACTGTATACCACGTTTGTGGTTGGTTGGGATCTGGGCAGGATGTGCCTGTTTACCTGTCAGTGATAGCAGCCTGTACTTCAGAGGAAAGCTCCTGGTGTACTATGCCCCAGAGCACAAGTTAATTCAAGGTAGGTGGTTAGTTATTTGTTTCACCTGGTGATCTTAAAATGGACCTTTTAAAGGTACCTGTTGACCGCCTGAGAATTGGGGAACAGCAGAATTCTTTAATGTTCCTTGTGAAATTTCTAATAATATGTTTTAAAATGTCTCATTAGAAACTTCACATTGAACATCAGTACCAAGAAACTTGCTTAGTAACTATTAACATTGAAATTCGTTTCAATGAGCAAAGTATAATACTTTTCAGCCATTTCCTATTAAATCTCCCTTAGGAGTCTTAATCAATTTTATCTCATTCATTCTTCCTGTCATGATTATCTAGACTGTAGAGTGTTGCCCAGTGGAAAGAATTTGGGTTTTAAATTCAAATCCTGGCCCATGGTCTTTAGATTCCCCCCATTTACTCATAAGGTCTTTCCAAGTCTCTTTATATTCCTCATAGTTGTCTGTCTTAATTACATTAGAATATTAAATGAAAGTCTTGTCTTTGACACCTACTGGAAGTGTGACCCTGGCCATGTCACTTAACTTTCTGTAGCCTGAACGACAGTCAAGATCATTTCAAAACAGATGCTGACTTGGTTTGGCAGAGAGAGCTTCCCCACTGGAAGTTCCCTGTATCAATGAAATCATAAGATCCCCTTAAATAAAGGGGAGGGGGAGAGTAAGAATGGAAGTGACCTTAGCTAACCACCTCCATCTTTTATACATGAAGAAACTAAGGGCCAGAAATGTAAAATGATTTACCTGCCTGAGGCTACCTGGATTAACTAGAATTGAGGGTGGAGTAGGAAGAGCCTTGGATTGCGAATCTTCCCAATTCTGCTATTTCTCATTATGAAAACTTGTGTAAAGTATAATTTCTTTTTATCTGTAAATAATGAGGGAATTGGGCCAACTTTAGTATTCTGTAATGCTAACTACAGTCCTCGATGAACCAAATATTTTTTTGTTTTGTTTTCTGCTCTTGACTTTTAGGAGAAGGAACTCACTCACAAGAAAAACAAAGTCAGAATTTAGTTCACAATTTAAAAAAAGAAAATACTTCTGGGATGTTTCTTTGGGCCAGCACACGTTCAGCACGGATGTTCCATGCTTCCTTGACCCTATACAATAAGTCTTTCTGTTGGGAATCAATGACCCTGAGACATAGAAAGTTCTAGGATCATGAACCAAAAAAAAAAAATTTTTTTTTAAACCTAGACCAGAAGTCAGGAAAGGTGGATTAAAGTTCTAGCTTGGCAAGTAAATAGCTTATAGCCTTGGGCAAATCACCTGGCTTATTTGGATCTCACTTGGCCAAATATGTAAAATGGGAGTTGGACTGGATTACCTCTGGGGTCCCATCCAGCTTCCAAGTTTTCTATTTCTAGTTATTTTCACTGCACTCCATTTCAAAAGTCAGGAAGGTAGATCTAAATAATTTAGAAAGTTTTTCAACTAAGGTTGAAGGAAAAGGGGGGTTTGGGCTGGTCCAGGGGCAGAGTGAATAAAATGCTGGGTTCAAATTCTAAATTATAGTAGGTCAGCTTCCAGCCTATTGTAGGCAGAATCAGCTGGTTTTGGCCCCACAGATTGCTGTTAGAAAAGGAATCCAAAGACTGTTTAATGTTGATATAGCAGAAGACACTTTCCTAAGGCCTCATGGCTAGGGTGAATTGTGAGTTACTGTGACCTTCCTGCCTAATGCATTGTGGGAGAATCAGGCCATCCCCCTGAAATCCAAACTAGTTCTAAATCCCCCAGGCAGCTCCTTGACCTGTTCTCTCCAAGAGCACAGAGGTCTGTTGCACAAAATATTTTCTGAATGCACAGGAGGACAAACATCTAATATATTAAGGGAAGAGCCTCAGATCCGTACCCCTACTTCACCAACCTCAAGGTACAGAATTAACATCTTGGGGAAATTTTATCAGATATCTTCTTCTGAGGAGGCCTCTAGTTTTAAGGGGATACCCACTCCAAAACTCTCCCTATGCTGAAATGTTCACCAAGTTTGGTTATCATCTGTTAACAGACTCTTTAAGACCCGGGAGGGGCTGAGGTCAAAGACGTAGGTAGGTTTTAAAAATTTATAAGTCTGGCCTTCCTACCATGGTTCTGCCTGTTTTTGTTGTGACGTTTCCACTTATTATTAAATTCTGGGTTGGGTCTTGGCTTGGTTTGAATAAAAGAGATTAGAAAATATATATACTCTTAGATAAGAGCAAAATTCTAGGTCAATGTGGGCTGGCTAACAAAAATCATTTAATTGTGTCTGCCTCATCTGCAAAGTAGACCATGCTTTGAGGCACATGTCAAAGCGAAAGTGAAACCTTTGATATTACATGCCAGGCCATGCAGGAGAAGTGATGGGCAGCTACCTGTGATCTACTTCACTTTAAAATGAGAATGATAAATACTGTCTTATAGGACAACAGCTTTGGAAATATAGACAATGACATTGTTTAAAGATTAAAGAAATCTATGAAATTCAGGTCTTTTTTAAGGCAGTTGGGGTTAAGTGACTTGCCCAGGGTCACACAGCTAGTAAGTGTCAAGTGTTTGGTCTGAGGCCAGTGCTCTATCTACTGTGCCACCTAGCTGCCCCTGATTCAGGTCTTTTCTTAACCCTGAATGGGCTTAAATTCAAACCAGTCTCTTTTCTTAATGCATATTGACTT